ACATAGCCTAACTTGAAAGAATCTAAGTTTCAGAGGTTTACTGTTTTCATGCGTCTTGTTAATAGCCTAAACTTAATATAATATAAGCTATTTTGAAATTTATTTAATTACCCTTAAAATGGTGATTCTAATCTAGTAAGGAATAATTTCTGGTATTGTGTCTTTAAAAGTATGATATAACAAATTCAAGAATTTTATAAATGTAGCCTATTAGTGAGTGAATCAGAATCATAGCCTACAGTAATAGGCCATTAATTGCATTCATGGTTCATGGTTCACCTTAAAAGGCGTTCATGGTCATGCCTTAATAAAAATAATATATTACTTTTATTTGCTTTTACATACAGTTCTGCAGTGCTAACAGATTGTTATAATCAAAATTATTTTAACTGTATTTAAAAAAAAACTACATATCCTATTACTTTCAGGTCATTTATGATTAGTTAGAAACGTTAAAGTATGATTTTTAGCCAGGATATATACTCTCCTTCAAGTAAGTAAGTATTCAAGTAAGTAAGTATTTATGATTAGTTATTAGAAACGTTCAAGTAAGTATTCAAGTAAGTAAGTATTTATGATTAGTTAGAAACGTTAAAGTATGATTTTTAGCCAGGATATATACTCTCCTTGTTATAAAACAAAGGAATGCTTACCATACTAGAAGCTTGATTATAAATATGTTTAGAATTTTATTTTGGGCCCCAAGAACTGAATATGCAATGAAAACCTACTCACAGTTCAGATGTTCAAATGCAATTTATCATGTAGATATATTACATGTATCTCTGAACTGTGGCTATTTCAGGTAATTGTAAATAAAGACTAGTATTAACAGAAATGTTATCACCACAAAACGCATTTATTTAACTTTTTTCAAGTAAGAACTCGAGGGTTGAACATGCGCTATCAGCCCATTTATTAGCATGCAATGTTAAATTTCGCGCCAACTCCGGCCTCACGCAAACATGACGGGCGTATGACGCGGTGGTGGGAGAAGGTGGGTGGTGTTACGAGAGACAAGGGTTCGTGGAACGGAAACAAGGTAGGCAACCATTTATTTCACTTCACTCTCGCTCGTAACGTAACTTACGATAACAGCATCGGTTCGATTCTCTACGATTACGATTTCGACTTTCAGTTGATAACAATCGAAACACAACCGAATCATACGGTTGGTCTGTTGTGAACCCAGCACTATCCTACCACAAGCTGATCGTAGTCGTAATATGTATCTTTAAGTGTTGCCAACTTATTTTTAAGCATACACAGATTACGTGCATAATAAAAGCACGCAGGAACTTTGCTGCACACAAGTTTCTCGAGTACGCAAAGGCAGTTTGTATTCGCGTTACACATTATATTTTTCCTAGAGTTACTATAAATCATATAAATAATTAGTCTTTCAATTACTGTGCAACACATTTTTAGGTTAGGTTAAATCCAAACATTGAATGAAATGGGAAACGCTACACAAGCTGATCGTAGTCGTAATATGTATCTTTAAGTGTTGCCAACTTATTTTTAAGCATACACGGATTACGTGCATAATAAAAGCACGCTGCTTTGTGTTGTTTGGTTGGAATACTGGTGTGCGCCAAAGTAAGGGTTTCTGTACTATAATCTGTGCAAGGAAGCCCACTTTGTCGGGTGACTGTAAGAAAAAGTATTTTTTTAGCTTTAGTTTGTTGATCAATAACAAAAATATAGTTCATCACATAGGCAAAATAGACTTGCTCATTTTCAGTTCTGGCTTCGCCTCGATGGTAAGACTTGAGCTCAGGAGGGAGAGAGAGTATTGCGATTGCCGCTTGAGTGATCCTAGCGGCCGCCGCCCAAAGCTCATTTAGGGGGCAAAATTCCAGTCTGCCTATTCTCCATAAGCATTTCGCTTATTATTGGTTGTATTCATTGGCTTAACCACAGTCAGTTTATGAAAATGTATTTTAAATAGGCTACATTGGTGACAACTGTACCTGATTTAGGTAGATAAATCACTCTTTCCAGTGTAGGTCTAAAATCATATTTTTTTTTAGTTAGTAGTTCTATTCACCCAATAACTGTTCTAAACAAACTTAAACTTAAAAAGGTAAATGGGTTATTTAGCACTGGATCCACTTTGCCTTAGAAACAAGTTTTGGACCCCATAAAACAGCAATTTGCAAACAGGTCCCCTTGTAAAAGTTATAAGTAGCAAAACGCCTGATTTCAGGTGCAAATCACAAAGACTCTATCATTGTGGCAGTTTCCATGTGACTCTTTGTGTTTTGTATGTTAACAAATGGACTATCAACATTTAATGAGAAACAATACTTAATTTGGTATAAACCATAAACCATGCAACAGCACTCAAATATGTGACGATTGAATCACCTCAGGTTCTAAACAGCCTAAATGGTGAACAAAGGATTGGGTCCATGTCCTTAGCTGATTGCAATTTATTATTTCCTTTCCACTCGACTGTAAACGTTATTTGATTTGTGTAAAATTTGGTATGAGTTTTTTTACAAACATTCTGTTTAGAAATAGGTATGTTTTAGATCAACTACAATATCATTGTTTTGTTTTATTTGACTTAATGTGAGTAAGCAAATTACTCACTGGTCTTTATTAGGTTCCCTAGTCTCCTTTAGTGGGGACTCTGTCAAATTGCAGTAATGAAGGACCTTGGGGTTCACTGTATCCTGCCCAGAAAAATAACATCCTTTCTCTACATTCATGTGGTCTTCGTTCGTGTCAGTCTTTCCTCTGAAAGGCCTCGGTTGAGAAATGTTGGATGCCTTAGTAACACAACCTGATAAATGTTCCTTTCAGTGCATTAGCATTTCAGTTGAAGCACAAGAATTTCAAGTACAATTAATTTTCAAACAATCTAGTGTTTGAATTTTATGTGGAACATCTATCTACATTTTGTTAATAGCTGAGATGAAAAAGGATATTCTGTATGTGGATAATCTGTAACTTCTTCTCAACCATTTCCAAACTGATTATGCAATGTACATACATATGAATATAATTGAAATTTGACAAATTCGGAATCCAATTCATTATTGTAGCAGATAATCCTAGTTTTAAAAATACTGAACAAAAACTTGTTTAATGAAAGACACCTACAATTTATCCACAAAACAAGGTAACCGAGTAGGAACAACAGTCATCTGAAAACCCAATGGTTGGTGCCTCTGCAAATAGAAATTTGAGGTAATATTATTTAACAATGATTTGTTTAATTTTTATGCCATACAGTTTATAAAACTATTAGTCGCACAAGTATTATTATCATCAGCTACTAGGGCGTTATTTAACCCAAACACTTAAATACTTTTCTTTAATACTTGTCAATGAAATGGCGACCATACAAAGTAGGTATTTTGAGCCAAGTATGAATGGAGATGTGTGGCGAGATCTCGTAGTCTTGTTATGAGTGTAGAATGGAGTAAAATGCCTTGTGTAGCTTTGTTACTGACTAGGATCAGCTGCAATTCAAAGTCAATCTCAAGTTAAATTATAAAATATCCAACAAATAAAATTCAGTCTTTCAAAAATGCTAAAGAAAATTAATTTATAAATAAAAATACTTTTTAAAAATGCTGGTTTTTAAACACACTAAAAAGTAAAAACATATATATATATAAATATGTGGAGAGACTAGATACTTGTAAGATTTAAAACGAAAAACGTGGGGCGCATGCTAATTTACAATTATCTTCACCTATTGAACTACGAGGCATGTTTTTTAAGTAAGTACCGGTTTTAAATTTCTCCATTGCAGTGCTGCGATTAGCATTTTGGACACTTTCGCTGTATATGTGCATCTATTGGCAAGCCCTAGCCGGAAATTCAACAACAATCGGACGTGTTTACATCCGGTATCGAGCATTCAAAATGGTGCCGCCAATTGAGACTGACGCCGACTGTGAAGTGCGCGCTGTAATTAGATTTTTATGTTCTAAAGGTGTGAAAGCCATTGAAATTTGTCAACAGATTAGTGAGGTGTATGGCGAGAACATTTATGAGTGACGGAATGGTACGCAGGTGGGTAAGGGCCAGCGAACTCATAAATGTTCTCGCTATGCACCTCACTAATCTGTTGACAAATTTCAATGGCTTTCACACCTTTAGAACATAAAAATCTAATTACAGCGCGCACTTCACAGTCGGCGTCAGTCTCAATTGGTGGCACCATTTTGAATGCTCGATACCGGATGTAAACACAGCCGATTGTTGTCGAATTTCCGGCTAGGGCTTGCCAAAAGATGCACGTATACAGCGCAAATGTCCAAAATGCCAATCGCAGCGCTGGAACGGAGAAGTTTAAAAATGGTACTTACTTAAAAAACATGCCTCGTATTATTATCTATTGCATGCACCCCACGTTTTTCCTTTTAATCTTTAAAATATTTATTCTCCCCACATATTTATATATTATTTTTTACTTTTTAGCGAGTTTAAAAACGTGGCACTTTTAAAAAGTATTTTTATTTATTATTTTCTCCTTTTTAGACTTTACTCTTTAATGTATAAATATTTTAAATCTATTTCATATGGCCTGTTGATACAAAAACCAAAACCAACTGATCTGTAATCAGATGTTTTATTGACATATTTACATTCTTCCAAAATGTAAATATGGAAAATATGAAAATAAAATGATATAGTATTGCATTGTCATCCATTTGTGAGCGATGTTTTAAGTCTCTAGCTCATCAGGAAGTTATTAAAATCAATATAAAAATTTGTACCGGACAAGAAAGTGAGCTAATAAAACGTTTTAAAAAGAACTTCAATACAATAGTATACTCTTCTATACCCCTCACGGTTATTCTGTTTTGTATCACTGAACTAATAAATGAAATAGAATGTAAATTTAAATTCAATATTCCATGTAACATACCAGTACCAAAACATACATAAACCAATTAAATTGGTTAAGTAAATTAATTATCAATCTTCCTTATAAAATAATTTTGTTGTAGGAGCCTATCTTAAAAAATAGGACAAACCAAGCTGTCATATTTTTATTAATATTTATTTTCCTAAAAAACAAAACAAGTAAATCCTCAATCAACATTATTAACATTAATTTATCATTCATACATTTATTATTGAACCGGTCAATCTATTGTGGATGGAATGAGTTCTATGCCAATTGTGCAATTAAAAAAATTTCCTTTTCATCAAACATAATGAAAGTAGTTTCTAAAGGTGTAAATATATGATTATATATTAAATTTGTCATAAATCAAAACTCGTTCAAGACAGGAACGTAAAAATTTGTTTACCACTTTGGGCTATTTACATAATAATAATCATTGTAAAATAGGCTATTACATTTCTCAAGTTGTTCCTACTTCCAATTCAAAAATTATAACTCATTCACTGTAACATAATAACACTATAATAAAAACAAACTTGTCCTTTACGCTGGCGTAAAGATATTATCAACAAGGGGTTATTTACGATCACATATAGAAGGCCTTCATCAACAACCAAAAGACTATACACAACGATATTTATACTAGAATGATTATTTTTATTACATTCATTATCACCATGCAGTTTAAGTAATTTCCAGAACATTAACTTTCAGAAAATTACACAGCCGGGATATGTAGAAGCACTTTGGAGCATGTTAATACCATACAGTGTAGCGATAACGCACCCTGTATATTCTGTACATGAAAATTGACATTGGCCCCACTCCGAATGGATCAGCATGCAAAGCCCCCCTGTGTAAGTCATATAGTCCTATAAACAACACTTAATTAATAGGTATGAAATCTCTTGTATATAGGAAATTTATTAATAATCACCAACAGTATCGTAATAAGAACAAAATATTATATATTTAATAAACATCTTCCTTACACCCTTTCAAAGTCTGTTTAAAATAACTGTTTTGATTTTGAACAAAGTATCCATTCAGTAACAACAAAACTGCACTCGATAGGTAAAACTCAAAAATGGCCAAACCGGCGTACGATTGCCCTGTACAAGTACTGAGTGAGAGCTCTACCCTACACTAGTGACTAACTCAAAACTGATAACTTTACAAACCCCACATTGTAGACTTTATGATGGCAAATGGAAAAAATATATAATACAGTAATAACAACCTATACAATCAAAATGCCATTGTAAAGCTGCGTATCTACATTAAATACATTTTGGTGTAACTGATTTAATCAGCGATTATAAAACAGTTAGTAATTAAATTATTAAAATGTAAAAACAAAATTTTAATGTTAACATCATTAGAAGTAGTTTGGTTGTTCAAATAAAGTGTCGTAACATTTTCACACAATCAAAAATATAAGTATATACGGCTGATACAAATGTATGGTCAGTCAAGATATATTAAAAAAATATGCATATAAAACTATAGATAGCAAGTATGCGTCTTACATGGTAGATACTATTCTAGTTTTGCTTGTTTTGAGTGGGTGGTGAATACTTCTCTTCACACATTTCCTTATAGCGTAATGATAATGTTCAACATAAGGTATCAAGCTATAAATTTCTTATCACAGGTTAACATTTATTGATAGTTAGGGTTTGTATAGCTCACTGCTTCAACCCAGTTTCTCAATATAACACTAAATTTTATTCTCTAGTATATTTCATCACTAAATAGCATATATTTAAATACGTACATAATATATTGAAATGAATAGTAGGATACCAGCCTTCAAATCTCATTTGCGTGCAAAGTTAAAAATCATTTTATGATTACGATTACCAAGGCATTCACCAGCCACGAATATATTTATAGAAATGTCTAACCAAAAAATCATGTAAGAGACATCATGTATGATTTATTTGTAGATTGATAGATACAAAGTTATATAATAGAATAGCCAAAATGCATTAAGATGATCTTCAATACACTAGCCTAGGGTAATCAAAAGCTTAGAAACAATAAATATAGCAGTAACTACAAAACAAAAAGATAACAACCAACCTTGATTTAAACAGAGCCTACTAAAAATGTTTTCAAAAATGTAAGTTTTAATACTCATAAATATCTGTCAACAAGCAGCAAATCCAGGAATAGCTAAATTGATATAAAAAAAATGCTAATTTTGAATACATGACACATTTTAAGCATAAAGTACTAAAACAACATGGGTAAAATATAGACTGTGATTAGAAATTAAAGCATTCTCACAGATAAAAAACTTAAAAAAACCCCACAGTAAAATAGTGCATAATGAGCGCAACTTTGGCAAATCTGGAGAGAGTAGGCTATCTTAATTTAGTAATTAAAAACATAATCAGCAATAATGTTCAAAGACTTGTAAAATGATCTCTCGCATAAATATATTCTTATTGATAAAGTGTTAACGACACAAAATTATATTAACGGTGTAAAGAGAAGTTTACTCCCACCATCAGACCATACAAATATCCTTTAACTTAAATGTTAAAAATAAACTCTTATCACACAGAATGTTCATTAACTTCCTTATATTATTTATGAAATAAAAGAAAAGAAAAAAAGCAACACTACCATAATTGCAGCTGTTTGCATATTCACTGTAAACTTTCACTCCCTACACCTATTCTGAAGGTTGTATACTGGTTCGGTTACTGATCTGCGCAGGAAGCACTGTCCGCAGCATTGCGCGGATGCCAGATATAGTTTATGTACCTCATGCACACTCCTACGTTACGTTATACATTAGCGAAGGCAATCATTGTTCGATAGAGCCGCATATCGGTTACAAAAACACATTGGTAACACTCATTTCTCGGATAAAATTTCACCGATAAACGTGGCGGTACGAATAAAATTTAACAATAAAATAGATAAAGTTTCGAAATAATTCAACATCGGCTATCGTTAAGATACTAAATACTCTACACTGCGTTTTTACATGTCAAAAATAAATTTTAGTCAGGATTATTTACAGAAAAATGACTTTCTTACAATAAATACACTGAGTCTAGTTATCATCCGTAACGAGTACACGAGGATTCACTCCAGTCTGTTTGAAATAAAAGTTAACGAACGACATCGGTCTAAAAGTCAAACGAGCAGCTAATATTACAAACAATAGTGTGATGATATAACAGAGTAAGAGCTACTGGTATCACAGTTCCATGTCTGTGTGCAGCACTTGAGGCACTTGATGCCAGGAGGGTCTGTGTCTATGTCTTACGAACCACGAACCACTCTCAGCTGGCGTCTGCTACACTCGTCCACCACTCTTGTCTACACAACATACAATCCAATAATTAGGATTCTGCGGGAAATACTTTTTTACTTCGGGTCGGGTCGAATAAGGAAATAGGCCAACCTTGGGTGGGTAGGTAATACTTTGGAAAGTATGGCTTTTGAAATTATTGATTGTAATGCTACAAATGGTTTATGCAAGATTTCACCTATAAACTCAATTAATGGTTTACAATTAGTGGTCTAACTTAACAATTAAATTGGAATATACTACGATTTTACCGTTTGGTGTACATTTTAATGAGTAAAAACATAGTTATATCAAAATTAATTATTCTAATACAGAACAAAAACAATTATATAGAACCCCTAGTAATTAAATTGTATGGTTCTTGAATCAAATTCAAATTTAAAAAAATGTAAGTAAAAAACAAAATTAACGCTAATAGCGCTGGTTGATGTTTATAGAAAGCGTAGTCCGAGCCAAAGTTTACGTGGCATTGTAAACTTTGGCTGCGGTGGAAGATTGGTACCGCTCTCCCCCCGCACACCTGGCCGCAAACAAGTTGTACGCTTACAGTACTCTATTACATAGTAATCCTGATTAAACAAAATCCTTATAAGAATTGGCTTTAAGCCATCTTCACCAAACAATGACATATTTTAAAGAACAGATTTTAAGATCTTACCGATTGACCGGGTTGTGCTATTTGGGTGACCTGGGGCGTGCATTGAACCTGAGCAAATTATCTCGACGACGAGGCCCGACCTTGGTCGCACCCCCTCCTCGACCCACACCTGGCGGCCGCGCACTTACTGCCTCTGAAACACCAAATACCAACTCAGCTATGCTTTAAATTATACTAGAGGTTGCCCCGTGATCGAAAACTCAACCAAAAATATGTATTGTGCAAACTTCTCTATTTTCACCGCACACTGCAAATAATCAAGTGATTGGAATTTCTTCCATTTGTTTTGATTTTCTGTTTATATTTCGTTGTTTTTTCCTCACCAGCCTGGCAACCCATAAGGCATATGTTAATTTGTTTTACATTCATTTTTTGTCCTTATTTTTGGGCCTATTTTAATTTATAAAGGGATTCTACACATCTACAGGCAAATATCTTTCTAACAATTTGCGTAGATTTTCCCTTCGATACATACGAGCTGAGAAAAAAAGGTTTTCAAGAAACATGTTTGCCTATTAATATATAAATAGGATTTTACAGAATGATCCAAAATGATCATCTGTTTGTAAGCTGAAGATCATCACCAGTAATTTCATCAAGAGCACTGCTAGAAAGGCTATATTTGACGTCCATGTAGATGGACGGTGGGTCTTAAAGGGTTTTAATAAACAGATGTTTTGTTTTAGTCCTTCTAATCCTTGTTAATATTTTTATATCCAAATGGTCAAACTATAAAAACTTAAAAAAAGGTTGCTATAACAGAAGGTGTTACTAGCCTAGTGGTTAGCGTCTCGGACATTGGTGCGGGAGGGACAGGTTGAATTCCCGGCACATCCATTAGGGTTTGGATCACTTTCCCTAAAAGAGTTTAAGTACATCACCACGAGTAAAAATACCACTGGTAGGCAAAAAAAAGTTGAATTAACATTTACTACTAGACAATAAAAAAAGAATATAGTACCTACTTTCAAGCGGTAAAAAAATGTATTGCTTCCACCCTCTTATTAGCAATAACATTAGTGGTACAAGACAAGGTAATCAAAAAGTCCCATTAATTAACTAGATATTTGGTAAATATAAATAACCCCCTCTAAATTTGAGCTAGAATCTGATTGAGGTTTAAGATCTAATAAAAAGTTCTAAAAAGATCTAAAAAAATGGTATTTCATTTTGAAAACATTTTGAAAGGACACACATTTGTGTTTGATAATGCTTATTCAACACAACCAAGAACTGTCTTTCTTATCTGTTTCATCTACAGTGTAGCATCACATTTCTACTAAACACATATTGAACATCCACACCTTTGGGCGAAGTTTGACCAGATATGAGCACTTGGACTTCTTTCTTCTCATCCTCACTTGACGTGGTTATAGTCAGTTTCTCAGCTCGGTCGGCCAGTTGTTTCTCTTTAGCATGTTGTGCGACTTGAGCGTAGCTTAGTCTCTGGTTGCTGCTGCACTCACTGGGCTGTGGCGCTGTGGTGGCGTCAGTCATGGTGGCCACGTTGGTTGTGGTTGGAGTCTCGGTCGCGCTGACTGCCACCTCGCTAGCACCTCCGTTCACTACCATGTCATCAGTCTTGGTTGATTTGTCCGCCGTGCAGCACTTGGCACCGGCACCAGCGGCTACAGGAACTGTCCTGTAATCACCAGACCCAACATTACACCTACTGACGGAATTATTAAATTACGTATTTAGCCTAATGGGTACAATCCAATCTTGGTTAAAATGTATTAACACATTTAGATTTACTATAGTCAGAGTAAAAAAATAAAATTAATTAATTTTTAGAAACTTTTTGCAATCAATATCCTAAAGGCCTACTCTAAAACAAGCGTACGGACAAACCTTTGTTTTCGCTCTAGGAATTTAAATTTTTTGTTTATTATGGGGTATTTGGTAGTATTTGGCCACGAGAAATTGATTGGAGTTGGTCAAAAGGCTGGGAAAAATCCAGTTTCTGCCCTGCATCCAAAGTGCCCATGTTTGTTATCTTCAATATATTTTTGTAGCTGCAGTTAATAAAAACAGCTGATACAGGTTATTTTTAGGCTATTACAATAATCTACCTGTTAATAATGGTGTATTAAAATGTACCCATATTGATTACTGTACATAACGATAAAAAATGTGTGTTACAACAAGTCCACTTAGCATTAGCAAAATCTGGATATCAAGAATGAGGTAAAATTTAAATTATGAATACTAGGAAGGTACAAATCAAAGAATTTGCAACACACATCGAGTGAATGTATATTGAGAGCTATGTAGTTTGCTATCAACAATCAAAGATACCTCTGGTGACCTCGTACAAGGATTTATACTAAACCTTTGAATAATGCAATACTCTAGATTGTGTGTTAATTAATTATTGAACCGTATGTTATAGATAAGAGCAAAATAATTGTGGGTTGAAAAAATAGTGTAGTAGTAGTGTAGCCTAATGGTAGTTTAATGAAAGAGACATGAAGAATGAAAATATAAAGATCAAGAAGAGTATCAATAATAAAACATCTAGTAGTTAATAAATACTAACATCTGTAAAACAAAGAGTTTCAGAAAGATAATGAAAGGATTGATTTTAAATATTAAATAAGTACTAAAGAAAAGAGTATACTTACTTCTCAGGAGTAAGAGGGGGAGTGGGCAAGGGGGGCGAGGTGACTTGACTAGGCGGAGGGGAAGTAGGAGAGGCAGACCGTGGCCTCGGAGAGCCCGTGTCCTTATCCTTGGTGTTACAACTAACGTTTATGTTTATACTACTGTTGGACAGTGGTTTGCTTTTGGCCGTCCCCTTCACCACATCAGACAGCCTGCAAAACACAAGAGTCAATATTGTGTAGTACTAAAATCGTGTAAGATTATTTAAACCGTTCAAGAATTTAAAATATGAGCAATGGTTGGTGAGCCAGTAGATCTTGTCACAAGTGTGACAAATTGAATAACCTAAGTTCATCCCCGATGCCACGATATAGCTTTCATCATTCCACACAAGTCAGGGACTCGTGTGGACAGACAGATGAAAGGCTAAAATAGGCAATTAAATTCTTCGGACTAACTCGAAATTAATTTTTAAAAAATAACCAATACATAGGCCTAGTTGATTTAAACCTTAACGGTTTAAGACCACAAATTAAAAGATATTGTATTTGATTCAACAGCTAGTGTAGTAACTTAATAAGTCTTAGTTCAAAACCGTAACGCTGAATTGATGATTTTTTTCTTACAAAAACTAATATTATATAAGATAATATTCATGTAAGCATAATGAAGAGGACAAAAGTAGTCTACAAGGATAAATAGCCTAAAGGAGCTTTAACTTTAAAACAAACAATGTCAAACTATTTTATTATAAGTTGGTGCACAATCAAATTTGAGATTAAAATATCAGGCTTGTGAAGAACATGATTGGCTCTTGTAGCATGACATAATCATTCATCAGATCTACCACTATGTGAATTCTACCATTGAAGTTTCATGGCGAACTGAGTTATAAGCCTCCACAAACTAGCTTATCTTCTTAAATGAGAAATCAGAGGCAATGCAACTACAAAAACACTGACTAATATCACTTGAGAGTTTTACCTGTTCTCACGGTGAGACTGTGATTGCGTGGTGGTTGTAGTGGTGTCAGGCTGAGGCTCCACTGGTGCGGTGGGAGCTGGAGGAGGGGCAGACGCTGGGAGGGGGGGAAACGCATCGTCTTCCAAGTCAAACTGAGCTCCACGGGGAGAGGTGGCAGCAGCTGGCATGGGTCCAGGACTGCTGCTCACTCGAGACTCATCCTCTTTCCTGCGACGCCTGTAGCATTCAATAGCATTAGTATTTTCGTTTTTTAAATTACCAGTTCCATTCTACTGTAGACTCCTCCTATGAGGGTGCTCATAGGAACCAGCCAAGGTCAGATAACCTAAAACGTCAGTCAAAATAGGTAACTACATAAAAAAGTTTAAAATATTATTAACATAAAAATTGTGAAAATAGGTCCTTCTAAAAGTTTGTGATTTTGTATATGCTTTATATTTTCTTGGGTGTCAAACAACAAAATTACAATAACGGATACGATTCCAAATGCTTACTGCAAGTCACAAGTCTCCAGATTATTCAAAAAGGTTAATCTAACCAAACTACTTTTTTAATTCAGGGTGGATACCGATCTATACTTTTGACCGGGTAACTATCTCAGGGGCTGTAGAAACAGGGTTGGTTAAGAGATAGCATGCACTATAGTAATAAGTAACTGAGCTGGGTAGCTGAGTGGTTATAGGGCTCGCCTATTAATCAAAAGGTCACCGGTTCGATCCTGAGAAAAGTCAGTAGCTTTTTGATGGTTCGAAACTGGACCCAGCTGTTTCTGATCATTGGGCTTTAAATAAATGATCCTGACTAATGAAACCGCTGATCTTAGTCAGTAACAAAGCTACACAGGTCATCACACACCATTCTACACTCATCCTTCACTCATATTTGGGTTAAAATACGCACCTAGGTGGCGTCCCCATCTCAACGATTGATTATTATTGATTATAAGTAGTGTCACATCAATGAATAATAAGCATAATGCAACAAAATTCTTCTCCACTTTTGCCAATTGCCCAATTGCACTAGTCTTATTCTATCTTCGTTTTATAAAGTTTTTCAAAATAAAAAAAAACTATCATTGCAACTTTCTGTGATATTTACTTTAGCAACTCTATCACCCCATAACCTTTCTAACACAAGCCAACATTTAATAAATATGATAACTATAACCGTCTGCAGCTTCCTATAAACTAAAAAAGTGTACACTAGTTTGCTAAGTTTACCTGGGAGGTATCAAGTCCTTGGACACCATAATGGGTTGGATGAACCCGTCCAATGATTCGGTGAGCCTAGCGATGGTGTCGTCCGAGTCCTGGTTTACAATGTCACGATGATAGAGGCTCTTGTTGGCCACACCTGCTACAGTGCCTGCGTGACTGAGGTGCGCGTCTGTCACCTTGGAACTGCTTTTATTGCTGCTGTAACTTCGAGATGATCCAGATTCTGATACTGAACTACGATGCTCTGAGCGTTTGTTCCTGAAACAGTAGTTGCATCATCTAAATAATATTCACATTTCCTAAATACTTAAAATAAGTATAAAACGAGCGCTAAACCTCCATCAGAATTTTTAAACCTGGATAAAACAAAAGATTGAAAATTTGCCTTTTGTTTTAACTAAACAGTGATGCTATCAAGTAAAAAAATCTTACACAAATTTATTCATTTTATAAAAAGTAGTGATGGTATTTATTTAGGCCTACATGTAGATTGACATTGCCAAAACTGTATTTACTAAATAAATATTTACCTAAAGTACCTACATTAATGTTTACCAATAATTTAATAAGTAAATAGACGAGTTGCTGAAGTTAATAGTAAATAGCACCCGCAGCAAACCTGCAGACTAAGCGAATTTCCATTTGCCTGAATTGATTTTAAATTAAATCTATTAAAATAACATTAGGTTTAACGAGTACCCAAGTTTGCTGATACAGGGAGGCTAATAAAGTGTGTTTTTTAGTAAAATAATATTAGTAGCTTGGTATAAAATAAATAAATTTGCCAAGTTTAACCCTCCGAGCGCCACTTGTCGAAAAATCGACTCACAACACACTTTGTGTAGTGTCACTTGTCGATTTTTCGACACACGAACATCGTTTACGGCGAAGGCTCTATGACTGACTGAATCGGATTGAACTGGATCGAGTTGGGTATCGTTCTTTTTGTTAGATTCAGAGCTTTCTCCGGAGGTCTGTCTCTAAGCGCTATTCATTTTAGTTCCGAAAATATTGTAGCAGACAGCTGACGTGCGTATTTATTTGTAAACAGCTTAGTTAACCTCGGACCGATGACTGATGTGTTTTATTACGTTTATCATTGTTTTAGTGTTAAAAATCAAAAGTAGTGATATATGTGGTGTATTATAAGAAGACTTAAGTGATTTTGAAGGGCTGGTTGATGATCCTGAAGAAGTAGGTAGTGATATTGATGTAAATTATCAGCCAGATTCCTAGCTATGGTTAGGCTATGCATTCTTAGCTAAACGCTATGTACTGAAATCTGTTTTTTGACCATAACTTATTTATTTGCAAATCTACTTCCTTATATTATTATATATTTGTAATCCTCATAAAATTTAGAACAAAGTGGCTATTTTCAAATATTTATAGGCCTATAATTTATACAATTTCATTGAGCGCAAACTTATTTTTTTTTTTTTTAATTTTCCAAAATATTTATTTTACCTAAAAATTTGTTTTGAAACAAATGTTCCTTATGTTTTATGTATAATATGAAGCCCATGATTTTCCAAACAAAATGGTATATAGAACAGTAGAATTAACATTGTTTTAAGCTTCTCAGATCCGTTTTAATAAAACCTTGCAAATGCGCCAAAAATAGGCGGACATTAAGGCCTAAACTATGGACACTCGGAGGGTTAAACAAAATATTTCCACAAACAAGCAAACTACAAAATTTAACAATATTCTCCATAAAAATATCAAGGGAATTTAAAATTTGCAATTTTTTTAATTTTCTCTGTAAAAAAACCATACAAAAACCATTTGACATACTAAATTATAAAATGGTCTAGAGAAATTGGGAAATTTTGTGACCCTCAAGGTATATGTATAGACCTATATATTATATTTGATATTGTTCACGTGTAGGGCTACTGTAATTAATATTAATAAACAATACACCATAGTACCCTTTTTTAATATTTTTAATGACTGAAGCATTTCGACACTTAGGTCATGTTCACAGTCTTTCACAATGTTATTAAATCTAAATATGTAGGTAACAAACAAAAAATGAATACAATCATATGTTTGAATTTTAACTAAATCTATTTTGTCTTTGAAAAATTATATAATTAAGAATATCATTATGCCAATGGTTTTAATTATTAATTTTGTCTTAATTCTTCGATCTTTTCATAAATTGGGTTTAAATTTATTGTTTGCATTATGTTTTTAAGGATGTTGCTTTCATTTTTTCTTTTTGTGTAAAGACTAACAAAAAATATACATAGGCCTACCTATCTTTTTACAATCAAAATAACTCCCAACATTACACTTTATGGGTCAATGTCACATAATGATGAATTTTCAGGAAAGTAAAAAAAATTATTTTTTACTTTTAAAATCGATATACTACTAGCCTATTACAATCAGTATTTACCAAGGAATAATGTATACTAATCAGCAGAGCTGAATTTTACTTACCTTAATTTATAACTCTATTTTTATCTTGAAGGTCACACAAAAAATGCCAGTCGGTCACGCTGATGAATTGGCAAAAATAAAATAGTAAAAATGATATTAAATTAAAAATTTCATCATAAATGTTACTTATACCCTTCAAAATTCAAATAAACGAAACCAAAATATTTAATTTCCTTCAATTTGTGGAAATTTTGACAATTTTAGCTAACCTAAAATGAATTGGCTCTACTTTGCAGACGAAACTTTAGTATGAATGACAAATATTTCAACAGTAAATTGTTGTTTGTAGTGAAATATGATTGCCAGTATGGCATGTATCAGAAAACACATAAACATCATAATATAGGATAAGCAGTTAGTGAAATATATTTGTTTTGGTAAGCGTGAACTACTGGCGTTGACCGTGAACTACTGGCGCTGACCGTGAACTACTGGCATTGATGGCATTGAACAACGTATAACTGGAGTAAGTTACTGAAAAACACACAGAGTAATGGATATAATTTTAAGAAATGTAAACCCAAAATGTAATGTTTCAACAATATTTTAATGAAATCTTTTTTTTTATGAAATTACAAACATAGCCTAACATTCTTTGGTCGTTTGTGAAAGATTCATTTTGTTTCGAATTTGATGTTATAATGAAAGAACAACTACCATTGAGAATATTTAACAACTTCTAACAACTAATCTAAATCTTTTTAAGGTAAAAAAACATTTTTTTTTAGCAAACAGAAGTCCCCTCTCATCAACAAAATGTTGGATAGTCTTCGTCAGTTCCATTATACACATTTGTTGTTACTATCACAAAACCTAATTTTTGGTAGTTTCTTACAGGTAACACATTTAAACTTTGTAATATATAATGAAGGAACAACTACCATTGAGAAAACAAAACTTAACTACTAATCTATAAGGTAAAAATAACATGTTTTAAAGCAAACAAAAGAAGTCCCTTGCCATCAACATAATTTTGGATAGTCTTCGTCAGTTCCATTTTATACATTTGTTACTATCACAAAACGTAATTTAGTAGGGTAGTTTTTTACAGGTAACGCATAACAATAACATAACAGCAACAACATAGCAATAACATAGCAGGTAAACATTGTAGGCCTAATATATATAGAAGGAACATCTACCATTGAGAAAATAAAAACTTAACTAGGCCTACTAATCAATAAGGTAAAAATAACATTTTTTTTAAGCTAACAATAAGTCCCTTGTCTTCAATGTTACTTTGTTGGTGTTCTAAACAACTTTTTTAAATTTATAAAAAACTCTGTCTCCCTTAAGGATCATGGTTGGTGTGGGAACAATTGCTTTTATTTGTGATACCGGCACAGACGGTTGATCTTTGTCGTTAGCAAAAAACAAAGTGTTTTCTTTTTGGCAGTTTTTCAGGAATAAAACTTCCACTTCATTGTTTATTACCCCGCCTTGACAGATCCCAAGGTATTGTTTATTCTCAAACTTCTTCCCTTTCTTGACTGGGTACTCCACAATAACATGAACATCCGAAACCAGTTCGTTTTTAAGTATGGGACCACAGACGTTTCCAGCATACATACTAACAAGGTCTTGAGGGCCTGAAGTTAAATCAGGTGAAGCTTGAGATCGTGTGGGTACATCATCATCCTCATCAGAAGAACTATAAACATCTTCCACTGACAGTTTAGTTTTAGGAGGGGGGTGGATATCTCCTTGACTTTTGCTAGACACCACGTCAACAACAAGATTAATTTTGCTAAAGTGATAGTGGTCACATTTTTCGCTAGCGGGGCAGTCGAAGCAAGACAAGGTGCGGGTGTACATAGAACCACCTTTATACCATGTCACTTGGTGGACCTGCATCACACCTTTAATGGGGGGAACTTTTACATCAGTCAACACGGTTTTCAGTCGTTCTATGTCTGCAACAGGAATTTCAAACATGAGAATATTAAAGTCTTTTAGAGCTATCAAAAATTCTGCAGCACATGTTATGTCATTGCCACAAAGCACTTTTTGGTCTGCACCTCTTTTAAGGGTCCCGCCCACTCCATCCATGGGACCCTTGCCGTGTCCGGCCTCACTGAAATTCCATGTAAGAACTTTTAATTTGGGGAAAAACTCAGGCATCATGTTATTCATTAAATACATATTGTTCCTGTTTCGGTATTGGCTCGACGGGCTGTCCGAAAATATGTGGACAGTGTGTGTGTTTGGGAATTCATTGGCCGATCTTTCCAATACTGGTCTCATGTGAGCCCATACTGCGTGGGCCTGGTGGTCCAGATTGTCTGAAGCTGTAGCAAAACAAAGTGGATCAACCTTGCTGTTGTCAACTGATGCATATCGGACGCCAGTATGAAGAGATATCTGTTTTTTGGAAGCTCCAAAATGTACAGATTGTACCTCAGACGCAAACTTTGCCACATAATTTTCGGAAAAATCAATCCTAAATACGAGTGTTCCGGTTTTAATGGAGTCAATAACTGTTCTTAGTGTTGAGGATTGGTGTTTATCATAATAAGTATGTTTTTTAAAAGCGTCAAGTTCCTTTTTCAGGTAAGATTTCATTTGTGTAATTCTCTTTCTCTCTGTAGATTTTATTGTTTTTTTGATTAATCTTACTTTGTCTTTTATTTTTCTCTTTTCTTCAACAGTTACCCATTTAAAAAATTTGACCGTGAAGTCGTCATGGGATTTTAGCTCAATTGTTTTGTTTTTACAATCTTTGCACTGTCCCAACATGCACCTTTCATTTTCTGTTGAGCACACGACAGATTTAATTAATTCATTGGGATTGCGTTCTTGAATAACAT